GGGGGGCGAGATCCCGCGAGGGCCGCCGCTCCGCCCTCGGGCCGAGCGCCCCCTGCCGGCCAGGAGGTACCGGCGGCGGCCGCGGGGCGCGCCGGGTGAGCGCGGCGGGGCGGCCCCGGGAGGCGCTCGGGGCTGCGGAGGCGCGGCCTGCGCGCGGGGCGGGGCGGGGCGTTCCCGGCCCGGAGCGGAGCTGTGCGAGCGAGGCCCGGCAGCGGCACGCAGCCATGCTGGCGGCCGCGCGGGGGCTCAGGTAGGACGCGGAGCGGCGCGGGGCGGCGGGGTGAGGCTCCGGGCGCGGCCCTTCCCGCTGAGCGGCGCGGGGGTCTCGTCCCCGTTTCGGCTTCGTTCCTCCGAACGGGCCGCGGTGGAAGGGCGGCTGTGTGAACTCCTCGGCCGCGCTCCCCAACCCCCGCCGTGATCCGTCACCGCGGCTCTGCACCCATGGCTCCCGCGGCCGCCCGGCCTCCTTCACGCTGTGCCTTTTCTTCTGCAGCTCCCGGCTGCCCCGCCCGGCCCCGTGCCGCGGCAGCCACTGGGACACGGCCGTGCTGGCCGGGACGGCGTTGCTGCCCGTGAGGTGAGCGCGGCGCCCTGCTGGTGCCTTGCGGACCCGTCGCCGAACGTTGCGTCTCGGTGTCTCCGGTTTGTTTTGATGTCATTCGGCTTAAAGCAGCCTGCCAGCTAGCAGCTGCCCTCGGAGAGGCCGCTTCGGGTCGGGAAGGTTCTTTGTGCACGTGTGGGCCTGCGGTGCTTTGTGCCTGTTGTGGGAACTGGGGTGCCTTTGCTTCGGTATGAGTTTGTGCGGCAGCACGGAGTAAGTTGCTGGGTGCTCCATGGACGCGCGGAGTTCCCGTCTGCACGGTAGGAAGGACAATCATAGAATCGTAGAAAGGCTGGGGTTGGAATGGACCGCAAGGATCAAGAAGCTCCAATCCCCCTGCCGGTAACCTGTGGGCCCTCTGCGAGGGTTGGATTTTGGTCTTTGTGGAGTGTGGCACACACTGTCTTGCTTATAGTAGTAGGTGTGGTAAGCACAACAGCAGAGAAATACTCACTCCCTGAATTTGCTTCCAAATGTGGAAGTGTTAAAAGGATGTGTAAAACCACCCTCTCTGACCTCCTTAATGTGAGGTGACAGGAATGCTTGTAGCTAAACACGTTAGCCCTCCGCTGTGTGCTGAGCGAGCAGGAGCCAATCCTGCTTCAGTCTCAGTGGGATTTCCTCAAGTCGGAAATGCTGCACTGTAGCACGGGTCTCACGGTTGGGCTTCTCAGGCAGGTATGGCTCTGTACAGAAAATCTCACAGCACCTGCTGCTGTCTCACAGAAACTACTTTGATTTACTTGTGTAAAGGAAATGACAGTTCTTAGGAACAGTAAGGGATGTTAGATTGGATTCAGTGAGAGTGATATCTTCTTTTATTCATGTAATTATCTTGCTAGAGCACAACCAAAGAAAAAAAAGAAAGTGGATCCAAAGAGAGAGCAAGCACAGAAGGATCGTGTGAAAAAGAAGATTAAAAAGTTGGAAAAAGCTGCTCCAGAACTGATTCCCATTGAGGATTTTGAAACCCCACTGAAGTTTTCAGATAGCAACAGGTAAGTAAGACTGCCTGTCACCTTGAGCTTGCATTCGTGGTGCAAACACACCTCTATTTCTTTCTCCACCACACTGCAGTGCAGTGCCAGCCTTTGTGTGAGGTGCTGCTGACAAAAACGTGGAAAGTAAATATCATTTGTTTCTGCTAAAAAACTGAAACATAGTCATGTGAATGTGCTGTTGGAATGCCTGTGGAAAGCCTCCAAGACGGGCACGGTGTGAGAGAAATATATTCTGAGTTTTTCTAGATGTACGGTGAGTGGTGGTGGTGGTTCTTGTGTTGCTTTTTGAGGTGTGGGCACTTTCCCTATTAGTGTCACACTCCTCCCCATCAGGGTGCGAAGCCTTCCTCCTCTCTCATTTGAGGAAACCGAAAGAAGAGTTTTACTTATGAAAAAGTGGTCTCTGTATAAGCAGCAACAAGACAAGGCAGAGAAGGAAGCAATTCGGAGCCTTGTAGGAGCTCAGCAAGAGGCACTAAAAGAACTGCGCCTGGAATCTGAGGAGCTGTACCAGGCAGCCATCAGACGGGACGAGGAGCTGTTCCCCTTTGAGAGAGATGGGCCTGATTATACCCCAGCACTTCCTGGTTATGATCCTCCTGAAGGAAAGTGCATCGATATCACCAAAGTGTACACGCAGTGATGGGGTTCGTTGTTCACCTGGCATAAGCTGCTCGGCTGACTGAAGAATGGAGTGAGAGCTGCTGGTTCCTTTGGCATGCTCAAACATAGTAGGTGTATGACTGTAAAAACAAAATTCTCTAAGTGTATTTGATTTTTTTTTTAAATTGTCAAGCTATGTAATAAAACATCGAGCAGATCTGTGCCTCATCTCTCCCTGTGCTCCTGAGGAGTGTTTTGCTCTGCACAAACCACAGATATAAAGGCTCTTAAAATGCAAGGGAGGAATGTGGCAGTCACCACGAGACTGCACCAGCAGGGAGGCAGTAGCTGACTGATCACTGCCTTTCTTTGCTTCAGATTTCAGTGGTTTTTAATATAACAGAGGAAAAACCGATGAAAAGTTTTTCCCTTGACAAAGGGAAAAATAGCTTCTTTATTACCTGGTAAAGAACTGAGTAAGCCTCGGATAACGTTTGCCCTAAGCCAAAGCAGATCTCACTCCGGTCACTGAAGCCTTTATTTTCACAGTAAATAGAAGGAAGGCACACTGCTGTTCAAGAAATGCTCTCCCGCAGCGCCATCCCGGCGCCGAGAAGCTCTCACACACGGCAGGGCCGAACCAGGCAATGCTTTCCGAACGCAGTGTGCCGGCACCGTGCCGGCGGGATGCGGCCCCAGCTCGGTTCCACGTCCCCACCTGGCGGTGCGCCGTGCCGTGCCGTGCCGGCTGCGGAGCTGCTGCAATGAGAGCCGAGCGACCGCACGGGATCCGAATCAAACTCAGCGCCTGACTCCGTACCACACCGGGTGTTTATTAGTAAGTTTTCTGACCGGAACTGTAGTGCGGGCGGGCAGCGGCGCGGAGCTGCCGCAGTGACGGCAGAGCCCCGCGGGCAGCGCCGCTACTTGGCCGCGCCGTGCTGCAGCGGGCGGTGCCAGTCGGGAGGCGGGCTGCTCCGCAGCGCCCACACCGCGCCGTGCTTCTTCCGCTCCAGAACGCGCGCTCGTTCGCTCTCGCACAGCGCCTCCTGAAACACACGCGGTCGCTGTGCCGACCCCGGCACTGCAGGCAGCCCAGCCCCGCCCCGCCCCTTCCTTCCCGCCCCCTCTCCTCTCCTCTCCTCCCCGCCCCCAGACCCGGCAATACCCGCGCGGCGGTGGCGCGCTCCTTCTCCCAGGCGCGGCAGGCGGCGTAGTCGTCTCGCCAGCGGTCGCAGGCGGGCAGCTCTCCGTGCGCGTAGTAGTGGTGGAAGGCGTGCCGCAGCCCTCGACAGTGCTTCCACTCCCACCAGTAGTCCTCGCACGGCCGCGGAGGCTGCGGACAGAGCGGGCGCTGAGGGGAAAGGAGCCGCGAGGCCGAGGGGAGCCGCCCGCACCCGCCGCCCCCCGCTCACCCGCCAGCTCTCAGCGCCGGCCATGCTGTCCCCGCTGCGCGTCCCTCTCGGGGCTCAGCCGCCAATCGCCGCCGCGCTTACAGGAGCGTCCCGCGTGCCCGGCCAATGGCACGGGGCGGCACAAAACGGCTGTCGCCGCGCCCTTCGGATAATGGCCGCCCCGGGCTGCGTGCTAAGCACGTGACCCCGCCGCGGCCCCGCCCCCTCAGCACGCCCGTCGCCCGTCTCCCCTCTTTTTCCCCCATAAAGCAGCACTTCGGCACAGCACGAAGGTTATTTAGGAACCTTTACTCCAGGTTTTAAGCCACGACTGAGGAAGGAGCACAGCTTTATTACTGAGATCCCACCTCCCGTGCCTGAGGTGAGGCGGCTGTCTCCCCCCAGACTGCTACAAGAGGTTCTCTAGTTATTATGAGGCATGTTACTAATTATGAAGAGCATTAGAAACTGAGTTCCTTGGGCTTCATCACATCCCAGCACCTGGAGCTAGGATCACCACAGCACAAAGCTCACCTGCACGGTGCCTACATGGAGGGGAAAGTACCAAGCACAGAGCAACAGCAGAGCGCCGACACCAGGAGAGAAGAGGGCAGGCTGTTTGCTAAGAGCTGCTTTTGCTTCTCAGACTTCTCCAGGACACACTTACCCCCTTTGCAACGCATAGGAAAAAATCCCTAGAACTCAAAGAATTCGTAGAACTTAATTTTCAAGTGAAAATCAACACCGCCTGACAGCACAGCGTTCTCGTATTGCAACTGCAATAACTAACATCCAATATGCTGCAATTCTTATTTTATTTTCCTCCTGGCAGGAGTTCCCACACCTCAGGGCTTCCTTCCCTTCTTGCGCAGGGACTGGCCCTCCCCTGAGAAGGCAATGAACCGGCTTCCAGCTTCATCCTGAATGCAGAGAAAAAAGGGCATCACCTCTCTGCTCACTGCTCGAACGATCAAAGCTGAGCAATTATTATAAAAAATACTCCATCAGAGTGGCAAAAGACCGTCCATCTTTCACATCCTTAATCTACATAATTACTGGTTCTTTCCAAAAATAAAACACTAGCATTTCCGCGACGCACAATCCGCATGAAGTGTTCACTAGCTTATTCAACTTACATCAGTGCAATCTCATATTAGCAAGCAAGGACAGAGGCTGACTTAATCTAAAGCAAACTCACTAATACATCTTCATAACGTAAGTGTTCTGGGAGAAATTGAGTATGGAGGGAGGAAACAAACACGGAAAACAGTTTGAACCTTCTAGTTCTGTGCACAAATGGCAGCTCACAACTTTACTGACCTCTTCCACTTTCTTAACCAGCGGACGCGAGTTTCTAATGAACGTGATTCTGCCAATCTTGAAGTCATAGTTGGGTATTCCTCTGGAAAAGAGGCATAAATACATTAAAGAAACACTGCTCTCTATCAGTTCACTTGCTGACAACTGACAGAACACATACCTTCGAATGTCTCCTGGTTTAATTGGTGACGGGCTGGGCTCAACACCTTTCTTCTTGCCATCCAACCTGTTTCCAGAGCCAGAGAATGCCTGTGTATACAAACGTGAGCTTGAATTTAATAGTACCTTGTATTTGAGAGCACAGGGATATTACGTTCTGCTAGAAACAAACAAATAAAACAGCACCACCAAAAAGCCTTCTGTAATCTTTAGTTTGATTCAGAATGGGTTTTTTTGCACATGTAGTAAGCTGATAAACCCTGGCTGTAGGGGTATGTTTCAGCTGTTTTTAGACTGGCACATTAAGGACAAGTCATACTGTCACTGGTTGTAAACACCACAAAACACCTGCAGACAGCTGCTGGTTCATGACAGCCACACCCCAACCCTCTCTCACCGTTTCACAACATTCAGAAAAGAGCAAAAAGAGAGGACTTACCCGGAATCCTACGTCGCTCACATAACCACTGTGGTCTGCTTCAACATCCTGGCAGACAAAAAATGAGTTCACAGTGTTCATGTTGTGATAAGCAAAATAAATGTAAACTGCTCCATAAACTGCTGACCAAACAAAGCCTTAGAAAAATCCATTTCCAAAAGCTAACAGCTATTAAAGAACCACTCCTAAGTAACTCAAGCAAAAGCAACAGGTAAGTTTTAGACTTAAATTGTTTTGGGAAAATATATATATATAGGTACACACTGCTCCCTCACAACGGAGGCAGATTACTAGGGAACGCATTTTGCAAAACAGAAGCTTAACTTACTGTGGTCTCTTCATGTTGAGCACTTCTTTCTGGTTCTTTGTACCCCAAAGGAGCATCAAAATCCACCTATTGACAGAGGGAAAAGAAGCACAACAAGCATTTCTCTTTTAATCGTAAGCTTTATACTACTATTCCTCAGAACTCCAGAAACCACTGTTCCAACCTTAATCTAGAAATCACAAGGAAAAACTGAGGCTTTAATATTAAATATATCTATATACACACACATATACTTAACAAATAAAATTCAGAACAAAAAGACCAAGCCTCCCCAGGGATGAATCTTAGCATGTAATTGAAACAGATCAGTAAAACAGAACTCAGTGCCGTTGGAGATTTAATCAAGACAAGGTTGTTAAATAAGACTCTTCAGATTACAAGACATGTTGAATCTAAATACAACATTCCAGGCACCAAAGTGACTTGATGGCACATCAGTGCAGCACATGAGCAGAGGTGTGGTTACAGAGGTACAAGGTGCTCTTCAATGAGTCACCTTCCCTATCCCGTCTGACGCTACCTCTTCTGGTGCCCAGTGCCACCAGCTCATGAGATGCCCTCTCCTTTTGCAGAGGCACAGTAAGACCAGACTTCCCACAGTAGCTGTAACTTACGTTCATATCACACTCTATGATGGACACTGCTTTATCTGGCTTGGTCTCCATTACCCGAAGCTCATAGATCTGAAACAGTTTTGAATATTTTAAGATTGCACATCTTACAATGGATGCATTTTATCCTACGTGTAAGAAAACCATAGCTAACTCCTTCCCTTCAGGAACCTTCAAACAAACTGAAATGCTCTGTAAGCAAAGAACTGGATAATTCAGTCTATAGAACACACGACAACAAAGTCATTTATTGAAGATGCTACATATATGCACTAGAGAACCTACCTAGACTCTATCGTGCTGCACTCTTACTGTACCTTCATCTGCACTTCTGAAATTAACTTCTGTATTCAGAATAATTTTTCCCTCATGATTTGTAAGAACAAAACAGTACTCTTACCCCAACTCGTGGGTAAAAAGATGACTGAACTGACCTCTTTCTTTCTCCAACAGCAAACTGACTGCAAAATCTACCATCTGTGATTATTTGCCAATATTGTACAGCTCTATGCTGATTATTTAGCCATCAAGAATTGTGCTTAGTCTACAATCCCAAATAATCAATGTGTGTGCTGCCAAAAGCTTCACCTACTAACTCACATCTAAAATATACATACATATCTATCACAAGATGTAGTCAAAGTATTTACGCGGCCTCAATACTGAGCTATGGAGTACTTCACATGGAACTGAATTTGTTTCACCAGATTGATGGTATATAAATGAAACCCACGTTGGATGGTGCTGCATACTGTACCTTTTCATTGTAGTTGATGGCAATAACATCTCCAGTAGTTAGACAGGCAAAGTTTCTCAATGCATTTTCTAATCTTTGGAGTATGTTAAGATTTATTTTTTGCAGTGAAATGTCAAAGCTTTACAGTTACTATGCTGTGAAACTGATCTTTGTTCTCTCAAACGTTTTAAAAGTCATCAGTAATGGAGACTGCCTTCTAACGAACATTAAAGTATACAAATCCTTCTGTAGATGTTCTTCTGTAGGACACTTTTAAACTCTGGGGACTTTCAGCCAAGGCTCATGCTTATTTATACCTCAGGATACACTTTGTGTCAACATTCTGCAACGTAAGCTCTTTTTTCTTGTTTGTTTTTCAGAAATGGCAGCAGTGCTACCTACTACCAGAAAAGCATGAGCTGTGCCCAAAAAGATAGCTCTGCATCATTACAACTTGGGAGTAAACTTTTCTTCCCTGCTCCATCAATGAAAGGATACACAGCTTTAGGATTGGTGATGTCGAGAAAATCTGGACTCTGTGGCTGAAATTTTGAGTAAGTGGCAACTTGAAGATTAACACTCTCCACTTGTACCAGGCCTCCCTCTTCCAGCAGCAAGTTCTGCATCATCTGTGAGAAAGAAAACAAAGATACAAACCACTATGTTAACACAGCCAACGTTTTTATTTCTCTTCAGTTTGCCACAGCTGCCATCTTCCCTGAAATGCACCAGATTGCTGCGTTTTAATTTCAGGAAGAAAACAGGTGCATCCTAAGTAACATCCTGCTTTGTTTTGGTTAAACTCATACTGAGAGAAACCTGAGCTGTGACTGAAAGCTGCTTTAGGATCATGACCAGCAAGGACAGGCAATTTCAGGAAACATTGGATCTCTTTAATATTACCATGGCAGCTCCTTAATCCTGCTCTTCAGGTTCTGACAGCTCAGCGTAAGACAACTCACCCAGTGTGGTAGGTAACATATGCCCTCGTCAGCCACAAATTCGAGCACTCCACAGTGCGTCATTCGGTCCGAATTTTTATTGGTCAGCTTAAACAGCATTGGATAAGTAATATTAAGTCGGCCTGGAGAGAGAAGAGAAATAAAAATACAGCACAGTTCTGAAGCTTTCACAGATTGAATATTTGCAAAAGCTTGAGCCATGGTATAGGAGAGGATTTCCCTCACAGCATTATTTCAGCTTCTCAAAACTACAAATCAGGAGAGAATGGAAATACATGAGTACTGTATTGCCATTGCACTTTGAGCTTAAATGCCTCAGTTTACATCAAGATCTGGGATTAGCAGTCACATCACCCTGAACTCAGAGATAAATGGGCACTGGGTATTATTTTAGTACAGGAATTTATTATTGTTACACCCTTCTGCTATTATCAGATAGCTCCTACCTAATCATCACCTCTTGCCTATTCTAAAGATAAATCCTGACATAATAATTTCTTTGAGAATAAGTGAAGACTACAATTCAGAGGGTGAAAAAATGTCCTGAATTAAGTAGACCAATAAAAGCCTCAGCTCTTTCAACGTTCATTTTTACATTTTCTTTTTGAAGACAGAATTTCTTCAGACAACAGCACCCAGAAGCAACAGGCAGAGATAAGAAATCGTTGGCTGACCATTCTAACAGAGTTACCAGCAGTCCATAAATGCCGGCTCACATCTCAAGCAGCCCACCCCTCAGCTGTGTGTTTGTACGCAGCCCCAGGCAGCCCGCTGCCAGCTTGGCTTCTCACCTGCACAACACCTCAAAGCTACTCCTAACGAACTTATCTCACGTTCTTTATTTGATCAGGACTAAACAGACATCCAAACTGCCGTGCTATTTGGTAACATATGTGCTCACATATTTCTGCTCTTTTCCTTTCATAAAGCTGTTAGTCCAGAGCCAAACATTCACTTACTGAGTTGATCCAAAGCAGACGGTGGCATAATTACTGCAGATATGAAAAAGAAAGCAAGATCAGGAAAATTATGACCGTACAAACAAAACGTAATGCAATTTCATCACCACCACGCTTACATTTGTTCTGAAAACTCGCACAGATTCATTTCTGAGCAAGAAATCACGCGGGCTCACTCACGGGTCGCCGTGCCCGAACGCGGCGGCTCACGGCCCGGCCCGGCTCGCGCTCCCCGCCCTCGTCCCGCAGCACGGACGGCTCTTTTCCCAGCAGCTCCGCGCACCCCGGCCGTGACCGCGGCCCAGCGCCCGGCCCGCCCAACCTGGACGGGCTACGAGTCAAAGAAAACAGGTACATACTCTTCCCGCCTTTCTCCACATCTGACCTGTCATTAGGCCCGGCCAGCATGGACACCGAGAAGCAGCGGTACTGCGTGGAGAAGCGGTTCTGGAAGACGCGGGGGATGGGATGGTCGAACATGTTGAAGGAGAACTGCGGGAGAAAACAGCAGCGTCAGCGGCGCCGTGGCCCCAAGCTCCGCCACCCCTGCGGCGCTCCCCCCGCCGCCCCCCCGGGCCTCACCATGGTGGCGGCGCGGTGCGGGGCGCGGTGCGGGGCTCGGTGTCGCTGTCGCCGCCGCTGCCGCTGCTGCCGGTGGTGTTGCTGCTGAGGGTGGGCGCGGCCGCTACGCCGCAGGACGCCGCTCCACCGCCTCCGGCACCGCCCCTCGGCCGCCATCTTGGGTGAGGGCAGAAGCTCGGAGGTGACGCCGGCCGTTGGGGCCGTTGCGGTGGCGGTTTCTAACGGCTCAGCCTGTTCGTCGCCACCGAGCGCCCAGACGGCCCGCTTCCCGCTCGTTCTCCGCGCGTTTTCGCGGCTAAGCAAGCCGCCCCCAACAAAGATGACGGTAACGGCAACGGAGCCTGGCACGGTACTTCCGGCCGAGCCGGGCCCGCTGCGATTGGCCCGCCTCGCTGTCGCGTCTCTCTTTTGCCAATGTCATCGGCGAACACCCGGATGACGTCTCGCCCAATCCGCGCCGCGAAGTGACGACGGCTGCTTTTCCATCGGCCAATGGGAAGTGACGCTGATTTGGCGCCCACTTTGAGCGGGGGCGACCCGCTGCCGCCGCTGTTCCCTCAGCTCTTTCTTCGCCGCCGCCATGTTCGTCACAGACTGCCGCCGGGAGTTCTACGATGTGATCGTTAGCCAGGTACGGGCGGCGTGGCACCGGGGTCCCAGGCGGCGGGCGGAGCAGCCTCCCCCCGTGCTACTGTCCGGGGCCGCCTCGCGGAACGCCCGGCTCGGTCGGCGGTGGGGCTGAGGCGGCTGCCCCACTCGCCCTGAGGCCGCGCTCGGGAGGAGACGGGCGGACCGCGTTGAGGGCGTGGGGCCGCCGGGAGCGCTGTGCTGCAGCGTGCGCTTCGGGCGGGCTGCGCTCAGTGCAGCGCCTGTCTGCCGCTTTTTTGCTGGCCTTTTGTGTAACAGGCATCTCGACATTCGTTTTGGGTTTTTGTTGTTGTTTTGTTTTGTTTTGTTTTTGGTTTTTTTTTTTTTTTACCTTTTTAAAGTATCTTTTTAAGCACCGTAGCGCTGCACGCCCGGACGCGTCGTTAACCCCACACTCCGCAGCGAGCGCTGCCGCCCGCTCTCCTCGAAGCGCTATCTGATCTGAATGTGTATGTTTGGTGGCCCTGCTAGGCAGGGGGGTTGGAACTACATGATCCTTGGGGTCCCTTCCAACCCGGGTGATTCTGTGATTCTGTGAAGCGCGGTTTTGCTCCACGGCCCAAAGCGGAAGGCTTTCCTTGGCCGATCCGCCGCGTTCTGCCTGCGGAACAGTCACAGACTGCACGATGGAAAGCGTTTGTCCCAGCTGCTCCGGCTTTGAGAAAGAAGCGTCACACAAAACGAAGCGGAAGATAAGCTGACCCGGACGTAGGCTGCGTTCCTCGGCCCTGTTTTGCCCCAGACGTTCTTTGTCGAAGGCCGTTCCGGATGTTGAGAACTGCAGCCGTTCGAGGCGCGCGCCGCCGGGCTGCGAGCAGGGGCTGCACGGCTGCGACCGCACGGAGCTACGGGCGCTTTTGGCTGTGATTTCACCACGTGAAGTGGTGCTGCTCGTTATTCACTGGGATCCAAATCGTTTCTTTTGTTGCAGTGCCTCTTTAGATCCTGTCCTGTTCCGTGCTCTTAGTGATCTCTGCCTAAATTTCTCCCTTTCTCATCCCACAGTCACACACTTCATATACCAACTCTCTGAATTTGTCCCTTTCGTTAACATATTAATGTTACTCTGTTATTTTTGCAGCGAGTTCTTCTTCTTGTGGCCTCAGATGTTGATGCATTATGTGCCTGTAAAATACTCCAAGTAAGTGTTTGTTCATTACCACTGCAAGTTTAACACCAGAAAAAGTCATTGGGATTCTTAGAATGGGTTTGAGCTCAGAAAAGGATAAAAGTTTAAACTGATTTTGCGAAATGTTTTCTTTGTGTATCGCATCATGGATGCTCAGTAAGCCATACTCCCAGATTCGATGTCGAGTTGTCAGCTTGGATGTCTTCAAGACAAAGATTTGTATGAGATAGAGTTATAGCACAATGCAGTAATGTAGAAGAGGTTGTTTCCTACCATAGCTGACAGCTGTTTGCTTCATTTCAGGCTTTGTTTCAATGTGATCATGTGCAATATACGCTAGTCCCTGTGTCTGGATGGCAAGAACTTGAAACTGCCTTTCTTGAGCATAAAGATCAGGTAAAAAGAAAAGTTGCAGCTCTTTGTATATAGACATGTATTTCTGTCCTTTCCCCAACTTAAAATGTCAGCTCTTAATGTAATTATATTATTTCTTACCTCAACACAGTGGTTAAGTTTTAATATACTGCTTCCAAATGTGCCAAGGTCTTTTTTATTATTTTTTTTAATATCAGCTCATGTCTGATTGATTCAACTTCAGCTTGCACACATTTTGGGATGTGAAAGGTGGTGGTATTGGGTGTCCAGTGTCCTGATTAAGTATGGTCTGCTGTCTTGCACAGTTCTTCCTTCTTCGGGTCATCTAATGCCGGGAAGTAAATGCTGGTTTGGCAGTGCTGACTGCTTAGGGGGTTTTGTGTAGGTGTCTGCAGTCTTTCGTGTTTCCCATTAATTAAAATTAAAAATGTTTGTTTTGGTTTTGTTTGCAGTTCAAGTATTTTGTTTTCATTAATTGTGGTGCTAATGTTGACCTGCTGGAGATCTTGCAGCCTGAAGAAGACACTTATTTTTTTGTGTGTGATAGCCACAGACCTATCAATATAGTGAATGTTTACAATGAGACACAGGTAAGCTGAGCGTTTCTTACAGCTTGTATTATAACAAAGTGTTTCTGTTCTGTGGGGTGGGGGGTGCCTCAGTGCTTTTCTGTGTTTTGCAGAACTGCTAGCAGTCAGGAAATGAGCATTACTGTTGCAGACATCCACTGGTACTGTTAGATCAGAAAAATACTGTTTTGAGTTATAAAAACTTACACTGCTGGTGCTGTGATAGCTGTCAGTAGCAAGCACCTCGATCTGTTTCTGCACGTCACGCTGGTACAGATCAGAAGATGAGCGTCCCACGATGTGTAACAGCCACCAACAGTTCTTCCATGCAATGCTCTAACTGTGATTTTATTGTTGAAGAAGAATGCAGTTTGTGTTGGATAAATCAGCACAATCTTTGTAAAAACACAAGTTTTAAAAACACTGCTTTTTAATACCAGGAATGGATAACAGCCAAAATGAGGTTTTTGCTTCACTGTTGAAGTTTCTGAAGCTTTCTCACTTGTTGTTTGAAGTGGTGCCTTGCTGAAAAATATCTTTTTATTCTTGCTAGATTAAGCTGTTAGTTAAGCAAGATGATGATCTTGATGTTCCTGCTTATGATGATATCTTCAGAGATGAAGAGGATGAAGAAGAGGACTCAGAGAATGAAAGTGATGGCTCGGAACCTTCAGATAAGCGCAGACGTTTTGAAGAGGTTGGTTTCTCATGCTTCACTTTCTAAAAAGAAAAGTAAAGCAGTTATTCTAAGTCCTTAGAGCAGATAACTGACGGCAACAACATATAAAAATTGGTATAAAATTAAGTAAATTGAGAAAAATAATTACTACGACTGGAGTTTCACTTGCACAGATTGTTTATCTGGTCTGCACTGAAATATTTTCTGCTTATCAAAATGTGCTAAAGCTGATTACGTATGTGACTCTGTCCTCGTGTAATTGCTTAACCGAGGAGATTTCCCTCTGGTTATGCGCTCTGGGCTTTTGAGTTCAGCAAAACAACCAATTTAGATATAAACTATTTTTTATGTATTTTGAAATAATTGTTTGAGAAGACAGAAGCTCGCAAACAATTTAGAAGTAAATTTTGTCTGCCTTTGGGGCAGTAATCTAACACGAGTATATTGTGACATAGGCATGAACTAGTCAATTTGGCATGTTTGATTTGTAGCACATGACCTGTTTCTATCAAGCAAGGAGGCAAAGGCACAAGGCTAGCAACACTGATGTTACTGGATGGAAAAGCATTCTCAAACTTCATATAGATGGTTGTTCTGTTGGCTGGTTCTATTAACATACATTATACACTTCCTACTAATCCAGGAGTGTTTACTCAGGAAAATGAAAGACAAATTGTAACCAGCGTGTGCAAAAGCTACTTTTGAATCTGTGAAGTATTGCACGTAGATCTTTTTGATCTGAGTTTTGAAGATGATGATGCTTCTTAGAGAGCATAAATATACACCGAGTTCCTCTGTTTCCAAGCTTGATTGATGCTCTTTATTTTTCATCATGTTATAAAATGGTGAGATTCAGTGTTGGTAGTATTGAAAGTCCTTTTATCTGTGTAGATTAGCTAAATCAGTGCTAGCATAGGAAGATGTCGTGACTTTCAGTATCTTCTAGGAAAAAGTTTAGTGATAATTCTTTTTCCCATGAAATGTCATAAATAATTCCTCTTTTAATGAATATTCAGTCACTTAACTAACTGGATAGATGCTAATTTATTGGAGTAAGTTTTTCTAGCATTTTAATGTCCAAATTAATTTGCAGGAGGTAATAGAGAGAACAATGAAAAGGCGGCAAAGGCGAGAATGGGAGGCGCGCAGGTGAGCTTCAGCCTGCTGTGTGCAGTGCAGCCGGCGGCGTCTTTGCACGTGTTGGTGCTGCAGGGCTTGTGTGCAATAAGCTGTAATTATAACTTGTACAGAAAACGGAGAGATGTATTTATACATGCAAAAAGCTAAAATGTTCGTGTGGGTGATAATTGGAAGTAATTGTTTGTAAATAAGAGCAAAAGGTGCAGAGCTTCACTGTTAAGCAGCACTGTTGGCTTTCTATCTTAGGATGAAATTTGAACCTCTTTCTTTGTAATCTCAGTATTTTTAAATGAAATGATCAGGAAAAAAAGAAACAGAATTTGAGGAATCAAGAATCTAATAGATTTTCCAAATCTATATTTTTCTTACTTTTAAAATGAAATGAAGCTATTTCATAGCTCAGGTTTATATTTTAAATTGGACGAGTCTGGTTTTCCATGTAGTCAGACTTATTTTTTCCTCTTTTAGACGTGAAATTCTTTTTGATTACGAGCAATACGAGTATCATGGGACCTCAGTAAGTATCAGCTCGTTCTCCACAAAATTATAACGGGCCAGTGTAATTCTGATGTTGGATATTACTCAATCACCTTCATATAATTTGTAAATGACTGATAATACTTTACATAATTGTCTTTATTATATATGGTACGCTGAGTAGCAGGTAAGCAAGTAGTGTGACTCAGTAGTTTAGAGTTTTCTGGCTGTGCACACTGTTTTTCCTGTTAATGAATTAGAGGTGTCCCAGAAACATCCCGCTAGCTGGGAGGGCGATGCCAGCTGCATGGTAGTGTGTAATGCAGTGTTAACAGTGGGAGAAAAAAGCTGGAACAGAACTGCAACTACTGACATTCTTGTTGCTTGAATCTTCAATGTCAGTATAGAAAAACTAAGAGTGGATTTAATTTTTATTGTGGTAGAAGTGCCTCTGTGCACAGGAATACTTTTGTGAAAAGACTTAAAGATACGGGGAGCTTGTTTACCTTTCTGAGTTTTGAATGTGTCAGAATATTTCAGATGTTACAAATGGAATGCAGACGTGAAGAGCTTCATAAAACACTTCTCTGTTTACTTGATGTTTTAAAGTAAGATGCTGGTGTGTTGCCACACTCAAGTGTGACTTGTAGGATGTTAATTGGCAAATTTAAGTTTGCTGTTTGCATAATAAAGCGAGAGCTTTGTGTTCATTTACCCTCTGTTTTTGCTTTCCTTTCTTGTAGTCCGCGATGGTGATGTTTGATCTGGCGTGGATCATGTCTAAAGATTTGAATGACATGCTGTGGTATGTTTCTGTTACCACTTGTTGTAACGGCTGGAAAATAACTGCGCAGTAAAAAGAGGCAAGGTTTTCCCAAACTGTGATTTCAGCCTGAGATCCCAGCTTGTTTCCTAAGAGAGCGCCTGTCTGAACTGGGAGGACCAGCAGCATGAACGGATTGGAAGTAACAGCATATAACCTTGTTGCTGACGTCTGTGCACAGCTGATGAATTGTGTTTCTGACTTGTTGTCTTACATACTTAAATTGTTAAATATAATACACCTTGCAGGATTTTTTTTTTTAACTCTTTGTTTTCCCAATTTCAGGTGGGCTATTGTTGGTCTAACAGATCAGTGGGTGCAGGATAAAATTACCCAGTAAGAAAGCTCTTTTCCTTTTTATTTATTTATTTATTTATTTAGCAACTAATATAAGCAATTAATGTAAGATCATGAAATGTGGGAATTTAATGCTGCACTATTATGAAAAATGGCATTAAATATCTTTATGATTAAAAGTAATCAAGCACCTTATAAAAACAGGAATAAACTTCAGAGAAACTCTTTTCTGCTATTTAGAATTTGCAAACTTATTTGGTTTTTATCACATCACGAAAAATAATTTCTAATGAAGAAATGGTGCTCACTGGTGGCTTGTATCAATGCGACTGATGCCGTTTTTTTAAAGGGGACAAATCTGTACGTTCTGTAGACTCCTGCTTCCTTTCCTATTTTCCTTGACAAGTTCCAATTCTTTTCCTTTCTCAACCCAATTCTTCCCTACGAGATGCCATCAGGATTCCAGTAGTACACATGCAAACTTTACCCCTGATATTCTGTATTTACTAAAACACTGATCTCTGTAGCAAGATAATCAGGATTTGATTCATTGCTGTGTCTCTCTAAGTGGGTTTTATTTTGGCCTTAATTGCCTGGGTGTGCAGCTGAGTATTGGGAGACCATTACTTAGCAAGTGGTTTTTCTGAGATGTGCCTGCGGTTTTCTGTGCTGCTTTCTGGTGAACGTGTGATGTTCAGGGAGCATTTTGTGTTCTCCTGTTCAAATAAGGGTACAAAGGAAGACAGCCAAGCCACCTTTTTCTTTGTCTTTTTTTTAAGAATGAAGTATGTGACTGACATTGGGATCCTGCAGCGCCACGTGTCTCGCCATAACCACCGCAATGAGGACGAGGAAAATTCCCTCTCCATTGACTGCATGCGAATAGCATTTGAATACGAGTATCCTTGCCTCAAATCTGGTCAAATCAAACTCTGTCTACTTGATGCACCCCAGCTGAGTTGATATCAAGGGAAAAAAATCCCAAGCTGCTTTTCAGCTGAGAACAGAATTGGAGAAAAAAGAAAATGCGAACGGCCTGTTGAACACGAGTCTCTTTTAGTATCTCACACAGCTTCACCACAGCTCAACTCTACAGATTTAGTTAGATGTCAGAGTTTCTTGTCTTGAGGTGTTACGTGTGCCTACATCTTTTCACAGAGTTTGGACATACAGTAAATAAGGGCAACTAAAGGCACCTGCTAATTAGAGTTCTCTAACTAACTTCAAAGAGTGTATATGCTTATAGTTATTTTCTGTAATTCCTGTCCAGTCTGCGCCTGGCACTTTATCAGCACTGGTCTCTGTATGAAAGTCTCTGTAATACTTCATACACCTCTGCTAACCTTAAGCTCTGGTCAGTACAAGGACAGAAGCGGCTGCAGGAGTTTTTGGCTGACATGGGGTGAGTTTTAAAAATTTGGTTCTCAGTTAAGGGATCGTTTTTTCACTGGATCGTATAAAATTATTCAGTCCGAGTCAGGTTGTTTAAGCTTACAGGTACTCAGTATGTTGTTTCTTAAATGTGATTGTAGGGCTCTAAGTTGGTTGTGCCTTAGTGTATGAAGAGCAGTTCAGCTGTGTGCCTTTTCTGAGCAGTCGGTCTGAAGTGACTCGTGCACTTAGCCTGCTCTTCAGTGACTGGAGGAAAACAAGCTCAGTCAGACTTTGCTTGCTAAACTACCAGATCTTAATGCCTTATGAAAGCAAGGTAGAATATTTGTTTCTTTTGGCTTTTTATCTGTTGTGATTTTTCCTTCCGTTTTCAGTTTGCCTTTGAAGCAAGTGAAGCAGAAGTTTAATTCCATGGACATGTCTTTGAAAGAAAACCTTCGGGAAATGATTGAAGAATCTGCAAATAAGTTTGGGTAAATTGTTTTAAATACAAGTGATTTGTCTGAAAATCTTTTTCAATTAAATTCAGATGTTTTTATATGAAGTGGATGGAATGTCTCCTTAAAAAAAAAAAAAGATACGGAATTTATATTGATAAATTAATACTAGACGCTTTGCAAATGTTAGAGTGAAATTAATCTTCATGTTCTTAACGTTAACGCACAAAGGAGATGATGTTATTAATGTTGACCAGATGAAAACATTGACTATTTTTATCTCATTTTACAGAATGAGGGATTTAAGAGTTCAGACCTTCAGCATTCACTTCGGCTTTAAGAACAAGTTCTTGGCAAGTGATATAGTTTATGCCACAGCTTCTCTTATGGAGAGCATAGAGAAAGAGGGGCCTGAAACGACTAATTTCATTAAAGCTTTGGACAGCCTCTCCAGGTACAAAAAATTCTCATTGTTCTTTTACAATTTTATTTAGGGAATGTGGGTTGAATATCTAAAGGATGCATCGATGCTTCATAAGCGAAAAGAAATATTGAAGAATATATCCACAGGGATTTAGAAATGTCCCACTTATGCATGGAAAAGCTTTACGTTTTTACATAAAGGCATTTCTTCTGTCTTGCAGAGGCAACCTGGACAAACTGCACCAAGGGCTGGACCTAGCCAAAAAGCAGTTACGTGCCATTCAGCAGACAGTAGCCAGCTGCATTTGCACCAACCTTGTTATTTCCCAAGGGCCTTTTCTTTATTGCTCTCTCATGGAGGTCAGAATTCTATTTTTCTATTTTTCATGTTTCAGTATCGTATTTTGTCTTTCTCTGATTTGAATAACACTGTTTTCCTAACTGTTGGCTCAATAATAATGATGCCAACAGAAAGTCAGAAAGACTGTCTATACCGTACTGTCCTCTCGTGGGTCAGTATTGACATCTGCTCTGTAAATCACAAAGAAAGAATCAGTTTTCTCAAAGGAGGGAGCTTGGTCACCAAGCAGAGGAGGAGATGTCGAATTCCTTTACCATAATGGTTCTTAGTGCACTTCGACCGATGCAGAGCTTTTAGCTGTGTCAGTAGATATCAAAATTTAAATCAATGAATGGAACGATTATCTTGTGTTGAGACTGAAATAATTCTTGTTTTCCTAGGGTACGCCAGATGTGAAACTGTTTTCTAAACCAGTATCTCTGTGCCTGCTTAGTAAATACTTGCTCAAATCCTTTGTTTGCTCTGTAAGTAAATCAGCTCTAATGTTACTTTTGGCCTCAAAGTAGTTACTGTTCTGCTCGGTACTTACAGTTAACTACTAAAATGTTTTCATATTATCTCAAAAGTTTTTCTGCTGATTGTTTGGATAATTTTAGCACCTTTATGAATTCTGTTCCTGGGAAACTTCCTAACACAAAGAACCTTTCTGATTTCCAGACAAAAAACAAGCGCTGCAAATTACTGCCACTGATAATGGCTGCACCGATGGATGTTGAACAGGGAACTGTGATCATGGTGGGGATTCCTCCAGAAACAGAAAGCTCTGACAAAAAGAAGTAAGAACGTTGTTTGAAAGTTCTTACTGAAGGTATCCATGCGCTTTTCCTGTCTCTGAAACAACCACATCTCTCCTGTACCTACCTAACACTGTGTATTGACTTGACCTGCATCCTTCTTAAAAGATACTTTTGCTCATGGTATACATGAGGCTCTTAAGAGGACAGACATGTTCCCAGCTTCCTTGTACATTTTTTCCTCCATCTTAACTATTTATGTATTTGTCTTAAAAGAGAGCCATGTCTCTTAGTGGATGGTACCTTTTAATGCATGACTTTGTATTTCATCTTGCAGCTTTTTTGGAAGAGCATTTGAGAAAGCTGCTGACAGTACCAATTCCAGGACTTTACACAACCATTTTGACATGTCCAGTGAGTAATGCCATCTTTCATTTCACATAATTCATTCACCTTTGTTCCTTTAGGGGTCAGTGTTCACACAGACTCCATCAAGCATAGTGAGCGTAGACCATTTATTCATTTCTGTGTCTTAAATGCAAACATGGAGTGTGTGTACGTGATAAGGCTACTCCTGAGTCTGGTGTAAATGCAAACTGCATCTTAGTTTGCTGATCTTTTTTCTTCTCTGTTTAAGTCTCGTCTGGTACAGAAGTTAAGCTGTGTAGCAGGGGCTGGCTTATCATTTTGGGACAGTCTAAAGATTGCACAGAGTAACCATTTTCATATATACGCTTCTTTTACAGTCTACAAGGATAGCTGAGAATCTTTGTATTTAGCAGCCAAGCCAAGCATTGATGCTAGAAGGTGTATTCCATATTGACTCTGAAAACCAGGATGTTCGTGCAGTGAGGTTTTCCCAGCTTTGTGTGCGCTTCCAAAGGAGGCGCTTTGTAACCCCACACACTTTGATTCTGTTTGCGTGTCGAACAGAAAACGAACTGCTAGGGTTAAAACTTAGTGGCTGCATCCTGCAATGAGCGCCTGGAAATGTGAGTTTGCTGGAACAAACAGTGCAGGTTGCATTTTGCCCAAACAAATAGTTTCTCTTTTTCTTTCTTAAGGCTGGTTAGGAATATAAATAAATATATTGGAAATCAATGTTCCTTGTATGACACGTGACATACCTTTCAGTTATTGGCATCATGTAACAAAGTGTTTTGTATTTTAGTAATTGAATTGAAAACAGAAGACAGGAGCAAATTTCTGGATGCACTCGTATCTCTCTTGTCCTAATGGTAAGACAATGCAAAAAGGATTAATTCAGAAATGTATTGCAGTTCAAGTTAGTAACCAAATGACATTCACATATTATCTGTAGCATGTTCCAACAAAATGCAGCAATTTCCAGTGAAAATAAATATTGAAGGTAAGGGTTTCTTACAAAGATTGTTTTTCTTTTGGAGAAGAGGCAGACAATGCATGAAAAGATTTTTTTTTTTTTCTTTTTGAGACATTTAAATTTCATAATTTCTGAGCTTTTCATTACTCTAGCTGTTTGTGGCTTTTCAATTTCATTTGTAGAAGGAGCAGCTGTTTATGTTGTGAAAGGAAATGGAGGTAGTATTACTACAGTAATAACAGTGATTGGCAGTCCATTACTGACTTCTTTCCTTTCAGTTACAATAGCTTGCTTGAGCTCAGGGCAGAATCTTGGTCACAAGAGAGCCATTCTTTTCTTTGAAGTTAAAGTGGTTTGATGATTGTTTGGGACTTGTTTTTTTTCTGTTTGCTTTTGTTTCCTATGTTATAGCTTATGGGGTGTAGTTTTTATCTGGACTTGAGATTTTATTTGTAGTTGTGACTTTTTGCTTTGCGCTTGTTCAAAGTCTGTCTTAAAGCGATTTTAGGACAAATTTTACTGCGTACTTGTTGAGACTAGAATTTGCTGCAGCTGTTTCCAAATACTTGATGTTTTTTAGTTATGAACTGTTTTCGTTGGTTTGTGCTGATTCCACAGGGAATCTTAGGCTTCTTAGACATTAAACTCTAAACTGTTTTGTGACGCTTGCTCAGAACAGCCCGTAAGATTGTCTGAAGCTATCTGAAGTACCTCCTGATTGCTTCATATCTAGACAGAGGTTTGATCTTCAGTATTCACATGTGAACTGATCCCACAGTTGTCTTTATGCTGCATGTACAAAAGCAAGGGAGTAAGATGAAGCCTTTGACAAGTGTGTGTGAATGTACGTTCACAGGCCTAACCAAATGGATGTTGACCTACTGGTGGATATGAACACTAATTTCTTTCTGTTTACTCAGCAGTGAGAAGCAGTGAGTCAATAACTGCAGTTGTTTGTTAGATAGCGTTGCCATCCATGGCTTCTGCGATTCCTACACCTATTTGTTTCTTTATGCTTTGACTACAGATTGTTTCAGATTGTCTTCTGCCCTGTTACGCAGTGGTGCTTTTCGGTTCCTTGTGCTGGAAGCTGAGGATCAGATGCTCTGAAGTTGTTTCAGATGTTCCAGACTTCATAGTGCTGCAATTATGTCATCTTGCTTCCAATAGAGGCCTGGACTTTTGGTTTTGTGCTTGAGAGGCTAAAGGATTTCAAACCTGAGCACACAGGTATTGGATACTGCCTCTTTGTAAGGACTCAAGCCTTGTAAAGGCAAAATGCCTCAAACTGGAGAATTTGCACATGGCATTTCTGTTTGTCAAACCTGCTTTTATTAGTAGATGTGCTCCTTTGGTGTTGAGCTGTGGGCTAACAACAAAAATAGGTTTTAAATAAATTCCATACTTAAATGCTCTTTTAAAACTTCCTTGAATGTTTTAAAATCATTTTTAAAAAAGCTTCTTGAAAACTTGTAATGAAAATCTTCTTAGGTGCTGTCGGGTTGAAGCCTTGCACTTTGGTTGAAGTAGCTGTTTTATGAGGCAGGTTTTAAGATTTTAGGTGTTTAAAATCCATGTACCAAGAAACTGCCAGTCACCAGGTACAACCCGTGGAATTTCAGTGCCAGCAAAGTGCCCTCAGTGGCAGCATGTCCTTAGCCATGCATGGTGGTGCTGCACTGTCACTTGCCGACTGGCTTTGGCAGTAATTTTCCTGGGAAGAATCTACAGCAGTACGAGAACCGCGTGTGGGCTGCAGTGTTACAGCTGGCAGCCTCCATCTCAGCTCCGTAACAGAGGTCCCATTTCACTTTAGTTGCTGTGCATTGGGTGGGTATGTATATGCTTGGAATTCTTTTTCTCCCTGCGATGTTTGCTTGAATTCTGTACGACCTCAATATTTTCAATGTATTATAATGGATATGTAAAGAGTATGTATCGTTACATTGTATTTGGTACAGATTTTTATTACAAGTTAATTTAACACTGACTGTGATCTAGATGTAGCCAGTGGAAAACGAATTAAACGATATATTTTTATCCAAACAGCAGTAGTTCTTTAATGCTGTCTTTTATCTGAACAATCAAATCTTTGTGCCAGCTTGTGATAATGGAAAGGTGTGCTTTGTAAGGTGTGTGCTGTGTGCCTGATCCGTGGCACAGTTCTGCGACTGATGGCTGTCTTAGCAAATTATTACCACTGGTTTCTTATTTGAGGTTTTGTTATTGCTGATGGTTTGTTTTCTCTACCATCATTACAAGTTCTGTGTGAATCCCTTCCTCTTACCTTACCAATTCTCATTTGCTGTTGTATTCCCCTATCTCTCTCTTGGAGCTTTGTGTATTCTGGTTCATTCCCCTGTTGGGGCATGTTTGTTTCCTACTGCTAGCATTTTTTCCTGCCATCTGATAATTAGGTATTATCAGAATGAGTGAAGAAAGAGGTGTGTGTGTGTGTGTGTGAGTAGGCAGCTGTTGTGCACTGAGAAATGCACAAGTTTTCAGGCAAAGTGGCCCTTTAGTATGAACACATTGTGTTGTGCTGGGAGGATGAGAAGTGGGAGCTGGTTATAATGCTGAGATGTGTGGTTAAACTGCAGGTTCTTTCACCTCCAACCAGTGTGGTGCACATGCTTGAAGCTGTAGATGTATTAAATGGGGCAGAAGCTTCTCTTGTGCCTCCTTTATTTGTTGGGTTGTTTCCTGCTTTTGGTTTTTAGGGTTCTAGCTTTCCCAAGGTTGTTTTAGAATTGATCAGCTGTTGAACTGATCCAGAGACTGTCAAATGTGGCCAAAAATTGGTCAGGAACACTGAATGCTATGTAAAAAGAAAATAGTTACATCTGTGTGGAAATCAGAATATGTCAGTAGATAAAGAGCCTGCATGTCAGCATTTAGAATACGTGAAGTAGTGTCAGACACTTCTTTCATAGCTCGTTCTGTGGCGTAGGATTTGTAAATGAGTGTGTTCATACTGCTTAGAGAATCACTGTGCAGGAAGATCCAACCTTCTGAAGCCCCCTGCACCCACAGAAAAGTCGCGTCCAGCAGCGAGCGGCTCGAATGGTTCAGTGCAATGCTGCTGACTGGCTCGGTGGTCACGTCTAACAGTTAGGTGTTAAAGGAGTTTCCATGCCAAGAATTCTTAACGTCTCTTCATGAAGAGATTATTATGCATTTGATTTATTCGTCCAGATAGAAAATGTGGCTCTGACGTGTCCTTTTAAAAGGAATAGTTAAAGCACTAAGAAATCGGCTTACCCTCTTTAGATGTATGGTGGCATTCCATGTCTGAATGCAAACAGAAACATTCCCTAAGGATTATATTTGAGCTGCAGTAACTCTTTTTCGTCCAGTGTGGTTGCTGTAAAAATCAATGCTTTAGATTGTTTCTTTGGCTCCTGCTCTTTTTGAGTACGACAAAACTATCCTTTAAAAAGTCCGGTGTTTTGAGGGAATTAAACGTACCGAAGTGTCTGAACAAGCTGACTGAATGGTGCTGTTCTTGCCCAGTGATTCATGACCACTTAGACATAATTGAGATTGCACAGTAAGGACCTCATTTGATTGCAATTGAAGTGCATCCCCTTCCCCAGGAATCACAGGCAGTTAGCAGTCTTGTACTTATCGCTGTTAAGGTTGTGGAGTGGAGAAAATTAATTCTTATTTTCTATACTGCTCTTAAGAAAAATAGGAAAAAGTAGTGCAGCTTTGTTGTATGAACGAAGTACCAGGTTTGCACCACCTTAAACATAAATGTAGCCATGGGGGGGACCAGAAGGACACTTAATCAGAATGTTGACCTGTCTAATGTCAAAAGCAGATGCTAGGGAACAAAGAAATAGCACAATGCTTCCTTCCGGATGCAAACACAAGGACTCTCACAGCCCTCTTTCTCAAGGACATCCTGATCCAGATGTGGTTTCTGACTATTTGGTACCTGTCAGTAGTTATCTGCAAACCAGGATGACTTCCTCCCTAATCCTTGTGAAGTTTTATCCTGTGTAATATTGTGTAGGGGGCAGACATGCTGTCTTGCCAATTGGTGGCTTTTTTGATGTTTTACAGTCTTTGCCTGTTTCCTCTGTGCAGTCATCATTTCATAAACCTCTTCTGTGTTCCCCACAGTTATCTCTTCCCAGTCCTGAATCACGACAGCCTATTTTTCCCTTTTGCTGCAGCTGTTCTGGCATCCTGATTACTGTTGCACTTCTTTAAGTAATTGTCAGACAGACCAGAAGGAAAACTGCAGGCAGTATTTGAGATGCAGGTGCACAAGACTTATTAGGAGTGTAATGATGCCTGACCTAAATCTACCCTCTTGGAGCTGGAAACCATTTCCCCTGGCTCTATCACCACAGGCCCTGCTCAAGAGTCTGTCCCCTTCTCTCCTGTAGCTCCCCTTTAGGTACTGTCAGGTCACCTTGCAGCCTTCTTTTCTCTAGGCTCCACAGCCCCAGATGTCTCAGCCTGTCCTCCTAGGAGAGGTGTTCCATCCCACGGATGACATCTGTGGCCCTCCTCTGGATGCACTCCAACACTGTGGGCTCCATATCTGGGCGCAGCACTCCATGGGAGGCCTCAGAGCAGAGGGGCAGGAGCACCTCCTTTGCCCTGCTGGCTGCACTGCTTTGGATGCAATCAGGATGTGGTTGGCTTTCTTTGCTGCGAGGGCACAGTGCTGCCTCATACCCAGCTTCCCAGCTCCATAGGTAGAGAAATCCCAGGAAGCCTGACAGAAAAGTCTGGCTTGTCGAAGGGAAAGAAAACAGTGAATTGTTTGTTTCTTTACATGGAAAAATTAAAGTCTCTCTTGGCTCTCATGTACCATTGTTGGCTTTGAGTTGGTACTGAAAGTTCCCTTTGGATTGGATTCAAGGACTAAGGAAAAAATGCTGCCCGGGGTGGAGCTCTAAGTACGGTGCCACCTCTGCACGAGTGTGAGTTATAAACACTTTCTTACAGGAAATATTACAAAACACTCGCTGGGGGAAGAGAATGATGTGAGCTTTAATTTCAAACTATTCTCATTCTCTTCGAGCATTTTACTTTTGGTTTTTTTTTCCTTTTTATTATAGGTGGCAGAATTAGAGAAGCAAATCAAAGGTCAAGCACATTCAAAGCAGGCAAGAGATCTTTTACTCAATTACACACAACTTCATGACTGTCCTGGGAATGTAGGTTTCCCAATCACTGCTGTTGTATGGCAAAAATTTCAGTTTTCTGTCGTGCCTGCAGTGTAGCTACTCTGACACTTGGCACTTTTTCTTTCTGTATGTTATTCAGTGATATTCTGGAACAACATATCTAGACTTAAGAGAGATGATGCTAAAGAAGTTGAGTAATTTGGTACCACAAACATTTATCAGTCATGCTGCATGCAGTGAACTAAGGCTCAGAAGACTTCCTTAGATCAGAACAAAAATCAAGTTCTCTATGAAAGATTCCACACAGCAGTTTATGAGCTCTGCTGAGTGTACCTCATGTACTAACCGAGGGAAGATGTACATGCGAGCGCAGTCGCAGCTCAGCTCGTTCGCTTTCTGGATTCGGGTCCATTAAGTCCAGGTTTGTTCTTCTTTCCCTGCCTCAACTGCAGACGTCTCCAAAGTCAAACAGCTTTGTGACTTAAGAACTGTAGGTGACTTCTCAGGGTACTCCTTGATGATGACTAGGTTATCTGTATTAGGCAAGTACTGTGATATTCTGAGTCTTCTGTTTTCTTTTCAAAAACAGTTTTAATTGAAATAGTACCTTCCTGATCCTCGAAAAAAAGCTGATGTTCCCTGACAGAAAGGGGTGCTGTCTTTTTAACTGCATAGAGCACTCAGTTACCTCTTCTCATTGATGCAGCATGTCAGTTTTTTCAGTCCTCGTGGTGTTGGTGTCTCTTTCCACCGTTTGGCTCGGCGGAATTTACTTTCATTTAATCATTCATTTGTACCATGTCAGTGGAAAATCGGAGGCACCTGCATTGGGTTGGAAAGAATTCACAGGGACATTCAGCTCTTTGTGCTTTTATTTGCTGAAAGTCACCAAAGGGCTCCTTGAAATAAGTACGCCATTAAAGATTCTCCCTTGTGTGATCTGAAAGTCTAGCTAGATTGCTATAGCTTATAGATTGCTATTAGCCTGTAAGGAAGGGGCAAGTAAAATAGTGTTTTTTAAATGTCATTGTGAGCACCATTGTAATTCAGGATTCGAGTACCAGGATTGCAGAAACATTTGTCAGGTTATGTTGTCGTGTGGCAGTGATTTGCTGTTAGTAACTGCCTAAATATTTAAAGCTGCTGTTCTTTATAAGGGATTGTTGAATTTCAAAATATTCACGTAGCGTGGTATGCATGGCAGAACTGGAAGGAACAATTACTTCTGGGTCCAAGGAGATTCATTTTCAAATTGATACAGATTAGAACAAATGGAAACAGACAGGGGGCTGCAACTCCCTTTTGTGCCTTAGGAAAATCTTCAGGTGAACGAAGCTGTTAAATATTTCAGGAAAGTGGGAAATAAGCAGGACTTCCTTTACATTCTAATGGAACTGGTCAGGTCTGTGTTTTTAACAGAACTGGACTTGATCTGTGTTTTTGAAATTGTGTCCTAGCTGGCTTAGCGAGCGCTGTTTTATTATCAGGAATTAGTGAGTTACCTTGTGATGCTTACCTGCTTTGTGGATGTTTTTAGTTCGTCTGCTTTGAAGGAAGTCAGAGAGGAACTTAGTGCTTTTAAGGCACTGCTATTTTGTGTCTGCTATTGCAGTTGTCAGAAACAGGTCCTGTGAAGAGGTCACAGCATTACAGCGGTATGCTATGCTGTGCTTTGCAGGACAAAGCTCTGAAGGGATGGTAAAGAAGGGAATTCTTGGTCCTTGAAAGGATGTGTGCTACGCGTGCAAAGCGTACCGACAGCAGTGCGTGCTGCTGGTCACTGTGCTGAGGTCTGAGATCACCTTCATGGAACCCAGTGTGTTCCTCTCCCCAGAGTTATCAATAAGAAAATAGA